AAAACCCAGAGCACTAAACCCATGTGCCATCAAGAATCAACCTGATCTGAGAGCGCTCGTTTTTCTTGCTGAGAGCCTTCTGACTCCTGGCATGGCTTGGAGGACCAGAAGCCCGGTTGGCCTCGGTGGCTGCAAGCAGACTGGCTCTGACCACAGACAGGACAGCTCCCTGGACCAAGGCTGCAGAGAAAGTCAACCCAGGGCCGTGTGCACATGAGGGCAGCACCCGGGTCCCCCTCTGTGTTCACTGTTTGGGTATATGGGGAGCGCCTGGGGGGCGTTGCATGGTGATTCTATATTAAGTTAATATTATTAAGCCCTACAAGGGACCGAAGATCACTTACTCCTTCATTTCCTGTGGCCCTGGGTGTGGAACCCAGGGCTTCTGGGCAATGTCTACCACTGAGTCACATCCCCAGATTTTTTTTTTAATCTAGCAAAGACTATTAAAGGAGAAAGGAAAAGATGTGCTCAAGGGAGAGGGTGGGTCCTGTCAGGGAGGACAGTGACCCGACTGGATCTTTCACTCATCCACCTGCCTCAGCCTCCCAAGTAGGAGGGTGACAGGGACACGCCACCGAACTCACCTTACTATCTAACAATAATTTTTTTCCCTTTCTATCTTTTAAAAATGATTTTTGGGGGGCACCAGGGATGGCACTCCACCACTGAGCCACATCCCCAGCGCCCTATTTTGTGTTTTATTTAGAGACAGGGTCTCAGTTGCTTAGCACCTTGCATTGCTGAGCCTGGCTTTGAACTTGTGATCCTCCTGTCTCAGCCTTTGGAGCTGCTGCAATTATAGGCTTCTGCCATCACCCCTACCCAAGATGATATAGATATATATTTTTTGGTGGTGTGTGCACGTGAGGCAAGCACTCTACCAACTGAGCTGTATCCCCAGCCCAAGACAGTTTTTAATTGAAAGATGCTCTTGAGATAATTGTGTATCCACTCACATTTGAAAGAAAGACCAGAGCGGGTGTGACAGTGACCTGCTGTGGCATCTGATGTCCCTCTGTGGTGAGGGCTCATCTGGGGGGCCAGGCAGTGACTCCTGCCTCCTCCACCCGCCTCGCCCCACTCGCCGGCACGGAGCCTGCGCTGTGTGCAGCGGGGAGGGGACCGTTGGGGTCAAGGTGCAGAAGTGGTGGGTGCGAGACCGTGGCCCTGCGGTGGGCTCCCCGGGGGAGCCTCTTTGCCAAACGGCAGCCGGATGCGGACATGACAGGGTCCAGCAGCCCCATTCCGGGTCCTCTGTGTTACTTCTTGTACTGCTGTGGGGGGTCCCTACAGTTTTATAGCGGGACACCCATGTCCCAAGGTGGAGCTGCCCACTGCATCCAGGGTCGCTCCCACTGCCCCTTCGCCCCACAGCCCCCTCCCCACCCTGAAGCCCCGGCAACGCTAATCTGTCCTCCCTTTCTGACACCATGTCATTTGAAACTATTATATGAACAGAACCCTACTATGCGCGACCCCGCGGGCCAGGTGGGCCTCGCCAGCGCAGGAGCCGGCCTGCCCCACCCCGCGCTGTGACGTCAGGCGGCGGCCGGCGCCCAGGGAGACGCCCAGCCGCGGCCCGGCCTTCTTGTCCGTGATTGGAGGAGGCACTCTGTCACGTGCTCGGACGGGCCCACGAGGCGGTGGGCCAGAGGCTGGGTCACGTGGCCCTCGAGGCGGGAAAGGGAACGCCGGTTGGCCGCGGGCGCGCTCCCAGGCGGCGGTCTTACGCCGAATCGGGGTCGCCCGAGGCCCGGAAGTGGGCGTGGTCTTGTTGTTGGTTCACCTCTGGGGGGGGCTCAGGCGTGGGGATGTCCGAGAGTGTCGCTGCTCGACGCCCCGACAGGTGGCAATAAACACGTTAGACAGGTCCCTTCAGGACACAGCTAAGCCCGCCGCCAGTCCCCACCCCCCAGGAACACGCGTGGTGGGCAGAAAGGGAGCTGGCCTTTGTGGGGCACGGGGTGTGGCTGGCCATGGCCCCAGGACAAGTCACCCCCAAGCTCAGGGACCCCTGACAAATAAACGCGTTTTTCACTGTGCACATGTGTGGCCGCTGTCAAGTGCAGCTGAGGGCTGTCACTTGCAGGCTGGGCTGCCTCACGGTGGCTCCCTCACAGCAGCCTTGACCTCAGCACGGCTTGAGCTTCCTCCTGACATGGAGACTGGCTGTCCCCAGCGTGAGCAATCAGAGCAAGCAGAGAGCCCATCACACTCACCAACCCAGACTGGAGGCCACAGGCTGGCTCACTTGTGATGTCCTATTGGCCCCACAGCTCGGCCCCTTGTGGGGAGGGCGCTGCCCCAGGCCATGAATTCAGAAGACAGGGCTGCTGGGGCCAGCTTGGAGGCCGCCCCCGCCTCTGCACACAGATCCATGTTCCGTCAGGAGCACAGCCCTGAGCCCGGGCCTCTGGTGCAGGCCAGCACAGGAGGTCAGGTCCCAGGCCCACCAGCCAGCTCCACTGGGACTTACTGGACCACAGTCAGCTACTTCCCCTGGGTTTGTGAGCTGGGACGAGGTCAGCACTGCCTCCAGCGTTCGCTAAAGCTGAAGCCAAGACCGAGCCTGGCAGAGTGGAGGTGGAGAGAGCAGGGAGGCTGCACGGCGGGCCTCACCTGAGCTGAACCGTGCTCTTCTGGGGCCTCTGGGTCCCAGGGCAGCCCTGCTCTTAAGGATTAGGAGGGGCGTTCTGTCATGTGAAACCAGATGACTGTAGAACCAGTGATAGGCGGAGGGACAGAGTGCTCTGTCCATACTCCAGAGTGTCCTCACCAGGACAGGAGCCAGGTGACAGCTGCAGTGTGGATGGACCTGCGGACCTCTTGCTGAGGTCCCGTGACCCAGTGACAGGAGAGTCCAGGGGAGACGGATGAGGCCCCGGGTGCAGGGCTGGAGGCGGGCTCTGCGGGCTCTCAGGCCCTGGGCAGTGAGCAAAGCCAGGAGCAGGAGCTGCTCCACGGGTGGCTGTGTCGCACTGTAAAAGTGGCAGAGGTCAGTTCAGTCACTAAAAGTGCCCGACGTCCACTCTGCTTCCCACAGGTCCTCTCTCCACACGCCCCCTTCCTCGGGGCTCCCCAGGGCTCCCCAGACCCTCCCGAGGTGCAGAACCTGGTCCTCACCCAGCTCCGGCCCACCCCGGGCTCCCCACACCTCTGCTGCTTCCTGCACTCCTGACGCTGGCCACAGTGTCTGTTGGGTCACTGCCCCACTGCCGTCCTTAAACGCCTGCCTCTCTCCGTCGCCCACTCCATTAAAAGCAGGAGCTGATCTACACACATGGGTGCACAAGGCACCCGGGCAGAAGCCAGGCCGCGGTGCATGTTCGGACTATTTTTTGCAAGAACCTAGATGTATGAAACAGATGGAAAAAACCAGGTGACTCCGTGACCTCCCCCAAGTGGAGGGGCCTGGGATCCGTGCGTGGTGGCTCTGGGACTGAGTGGGAAGAGGCCTCGGGAGGGTGACGGGGAGGGTCTGTGCTCTGGCCTGTCTTTGGCCTGGGGGGGAGCCGTGTTGGCACGTGACCTGCAGCTGGTGTCCAGGACACAATCCTGGCAGGGAGGGCGGGCACCCAGGCTGGGCCCCACCCTGACGGAGGGTGCCCGCTGACCTCTCTTCCCGGATGCAGCGCCTGGCCCAGGGACGTTGGCAGGGACCTCTCTCCTGCGGTGCGTGCGGTGCCCTGTGGCACAGGCTGCTGCTCCCGGGCATGGCTTTCCTTTCTCTTACTGGCTTTTTTTTTTGATTACAGAGAAAATGTGCTTCAGGAACGAGACATTATGTCTGTTCCAGCATCAATGTCCGGGCGGCGCTCTGGGTCTAGGGTGCTGAGCAGCTTCCACCCACCGAGGGCAGAGCTCCCCAGTCATGAGGATCCAGTGTCCCAGATGTCCCCCAGGGTCCCCTGGGGGCAGTCAGCCCTCCCCCTGGAGAACAGCTACTCTGACCGAGAAGGACAGACGATGACGTCACACAGTCCACACATTGACAGTTCCCGACATCAACAAATGTCCTGGGTGCCCATTTCCATCATGGCTCTTATAGGTACATATATATTGGGGTTTGGGGACACCTCTTAAGGGTGGCACCTGCATAATAAGTCAGTTACTCTTTCCCATGATGAGTGCCGGCACCAACAGGGGGACCTCAGGAGCTGAGCTTCACCCGGAACCAGGCTGCTGGCAGCTCACCGCCCTCCTAAACAGATGGCGAAGTGAGGCCCGGGCTGGTGCCTGGGTCTCCCGGCAGCATGGAATCCACTTCTGAACACCTGAGCCGCCACCCCAGAACGGCCCAGGAGCCACCAGCTGAGAATCGTGCCTGAAAGCACCCGTGGGGACCAAGGCCACGTGACCAGAGCAGATCTGCTACCCGGAGCCCCCAGGCCCCCACTCTGGCCCCCCACGAGGCACAGCCTCCTGCCCCTGGATCTGGGTCACAGGTCCTCGCTTTGGCTATCCCCTTGGAGGCCAGCCCCTCTCGGGCCTCAGTGTCTCTGACGGTCACAGGTGGCCCTTCTTCCACAGGCCAGAATGGGTTCTGTGTCCCCACCCTGGGTGGAGAATGACAGGTATCCAGAGACGAGGTGGCCTGGGCTCCCACCTGGGGACGCAGAGGGCTCACGCTCTCACACCCTGGTGTCTGCAGGCTCCTCCCACATTTGGGGTGAGGGAACCTCTGGTGTGGTGTCCCATGGAGGCACCCTGCACCCCTCGTGGCCTCTGGTGACAAACTCTCTACATCTCCCGGCTCCCTGTCTCTCCACCGCCAACACCAGTGTCCCCACTGCTTGGCCATTAAGCAAATGTCCCCGAGTGCAGGTTTTGGGGAAGGCAAGGCGCCACTTTGGGTGCTGATCTCCGCATTGGTGCAAAGTCTCGCTGTCTGTGCCGCGAAGGGCACCCCCTCCAGAGGCCCCTCAGGCCCCCGAGGGAGGCGGATGCACATGGCAGAGTCAAGTGCTTTGATTTTTCAATATATTTTTAGACGTTGATGGACTTGATCTTATTCATTTATTTTAGGCGGTGCTGAGGGTCGAACCTGGTGCCTCCCCATGGCGGGCAAGTGCTCTACCACCGAGCCCCAGCCCCAGTCGATGCCCACGGGAGTCTGGTTGAACAGTCAGGCCACGGGGCGAGAAGCCACCCTGCCACCCTCCTGTGTGCCCCCGCTCTCCCAGCGACTTCCCTCTGGGGGAGCAGCAGAAACAGGAATGGAGCCTGGGTCCCCAGCCTCGTCACGCGGAGGTCCACTCTGATCCTGGGTCGCTATAAGCTCTGCAGCAGGTGGAGTGTGCGGCGCAGGTGCTGCAGGGCAGCCGGGGCACACTCGCGGCGCTGCAGGGTGCCCAGGGAGTAGGAGGCCCCTGGCTGACCCCGCGCCCAGTGGGTGAGCAGCAGCCCCTGGCCCTCGCCACTCAGCACCAGCTGGGTCTGCAGCCCACCGAAGCTGACCTGTGGGGCAAGGAGCAGGGTCCAGATGGGGGCCTCCTCCTGCCCCTGCCCGCCCCTGCCTTCTGGGAGGAGCCCCAGCCTGGTGAATGCCAAAGTCAGAAGCCACGGAGTTTACAGTAGAGATGGGGACACTGAGACTGAGCTGGGGACTCAGCTGCCAAGGCCCCCTCCTGGCCTCAGCCAGGCACATCTTTTCTGGCTGCCGAAGCCAGCGAGGTGCAGAGGGGCCTGCACTGGGCTCTGCAGCCCCGAGGGGGCCACTTTGTCCCTGAGACTGAGCAGTGTCAGGAGCGGCACCGTCAGAGCTGCCCAGAGCTTCGCCCGAGGGTCCTCAGGACAAGGACCCATGAGCTCCCCATGACATGCACTGGAGTGTGGGAGGCCAACCTTACGGGTGACTGAGTTACACTCCCCAGCTGGGTGCTGAGGCGCTCAGTCACAGAAATGGGTGTGTCTTGCTACAGCCCCATGGTGCAGCTACGCTCACCTGTTCCTTTGTAATCTAACCCCTTGCCCTGTTTAGGGTAGAATCTTCCATGGAAGGGCCTTGGGTGTGTCCCCTCCTCTTACTGTGCCCTTGGGTGTGGCCTACCCAGGTGTCAGTCAACCTGCTGACAGTGGACATCATGCAGCCCCTGAAACCTGACCCCTTGCCTCATTTGAATGGCTTCTCCTCAATAAAAGGGGTCAGCGCCTGCTCTCGCTCTCTCTTTCTGCAGACCCTTAAGGTCAGAGGAGCCGTCACAGCGACCCTAAAGAAAAAGGTATTTGTGTCTCTTGTGTGGTTATTTCGTGCAGCCCAGTCAGCCCAGTTTAACTGGAGTGACCCCTGAGCCTTTTAGTCGCGAGAACAGAAACCCGGCACTGGAGCCCAGGAAGATCCCCCAGTGTGACATTCTGCTGTCCCTAAACGTCATCACTGTGCGTGGTGGGGCTGAGGATGACCCGGGGGCGGCCCCCAGCCCCTTCACACTCAGGAGCCAGCGCTTTTGGGGTCTCCTGGGACCCCAAGCTGTGCCAAGAGGCCCTGGCCCACTGGCCCCTTGCTCACCTGCAGGGTCCCGTCGCTGAACAGCAGCAGCAGCGCCTGCGAGGTCCCCACAAAGCGCAGCAGGCAGAGGCCCAGCGCGGCGGGCGGCTGGGGGGCAGGCGAGGCCCCCTCCTGCAGACAGGGCGTCAGGGCGCCGGCCCCTCTCCCCGCCCCCCAGCTCACCTCCCGCAGGCGCCTCTGCAGGTACCAGCTCACCTCCCGCAGGCGCCTCTGCAGGTAGCCGGTGAGGAGCCGCAGGACGGCCAGCTTGGCGCCCAGCGCCCGGGGCACGTCCCTCAGGGCGAAGGTCTCCAGCCTCCCGCGGGTGGGCAGGTAGCAGATGTGGCTGTGGGCAGGGGGAGGGGGCCTCGGTCCTGGGCACTGTGACTGTGGCCGCCGTGCCACCTGTCCCAGCCTCCTGAGTGGTGACTCTGAAGAAGGCTCTACCTGCCACTCTGTCCCCCCAGCCCTGGCCTCTCCAGTGTCCTCATGACCCCAGATGCTCCCACTGACCGCCCCTCAGCCCACGGCGCTCCGCCCTCCACGGCCACAGCTACGGCCTGCCTGGCTGGTCCCCCGCTTGC